TACCGGCGGCGGCGGCGCTGTCTTGGCTGGGTTAAATATTTCTTCGGCTTTTTTTTGTGTGCTGTGTGGTCGTAGTTTATTAATGAGCGCATCAATGAGCGTGGATTGCATATAAGTGACTTTAACTTAAAGATTCCTCTCTAAAAAAGGGCTCGGGAAAGCCAGTTTTTCAGAGTTGATGACAAGTTGGTTTATCAAATTTTAACGTATTTAAGGCAGCTGGTTTACAGGGGAGGGCCAACACTGATCTGCCCGCCTGACAGGTTTTGTTTCTGACGGAACACTTGTTTCCAGGTGAATTCCGTGAAAATCGGTGCTGATGTGATGGTACTCAGCCTTAATGTCGGTGGTGTGTAAGAACAAAAGTAGCTGCTTTGTCTTTTTGAAACCAAAATGACACGCCCTGAAACTGCCCTTCCCAGGACCTGTGGAGATCAGGGAAAAATTGTGATCAATATCAGGCCGGTCCTGGAAGGCATTTTTAGTATTCTTGAAGCTTGAGTTCGTTCAAGTGCATTTTAACAGTGCCAGTTGAAGAAAGATGCCAGGTGTGAATCCTGAAAAGTGATTTCCTGTGGAAGAACGCCTGCCAAGGAGCAGAAAGGTGTCTGGGTTTGTGTGTCAGGTGGGGTTACAGCTGGAATGTGACACATGGGTTTGGTGTTTTTTTAGGGGGTGGCACACCAAAACCCTGCAGTGAAACTGTTTGATAGTCACTCCTTGGAATCATAGTCTTTATTTCATCCAAAACAATTAAAATAGCTAAGATGGTAATGCCTGAGAGGAGAACAGGGGCTGCCCAGAAAAGCTGTGGCTGCCCCATCCCTGGAAGTGTGCAAGGTCAGGTTGGATGGGCCTTGGAGCAACCTGGGATTCTGGAAGGTTTCCCTGCCCATGGCAGGGAGTGGAATGAGATGAACTTTAAGATCCCTTCCACCCCAAACCTTTCTGGGATTCCATGAGGTGAAGCTCTGTAGCTCTCAAGATAATTTGGATCTTAAGATCAATTTTAATCATTCCAAGCTGCTGGACTAATAGATCTTTTTCAGGATTCCCAGGACTGGGTGGTGTGGACAGGGGGATCTTTGGCAGGGGGGAGTCTCTGTTGTGCCCTGACTTTGTGTCACAGCTGGCACACAAACAAGGCACCTCCTTTTGCTCCGTGCCTGCCGGGTGTGGGGCCATCTGGCTGCGTTTGGGGACCAGATGAAGGGATCAGCTCTGGGCTTGGTGGGGAGGCAGCTGTGAAACTGAATGGCCTGATGAGGGTGAAGAGCTGGCACAGATCGCAGATCCTGATGGCTTTGTGTTTTACAGATCTTGGAAACTGCCAGGACCTCTGTTTTTGAAGAATTATTTTCTTTTGGTAGTCAACAGTTTATAGCAAGTGCCACAATTTGGTTGTTGGTGTTAATGACATCTGTCCTGAAAATCTGAAAACTGACTTTTGGCATTTCTTCACTTAGACAGGGAAAGGGGCAGAAATATCCCCAAACCTCTCATAGCCACTGATGATGTAGCTGCTGGTTTAGTTTGTCAATTAGCTTTATTCTCCCAATGGATAAACACCCAGGACACACCAAATTATTTTATGGTATGTGAGCACTGGGGAGGCTTTAAAGGTGGGAGAAGAGTCAGAGGAGGGGCCACCAAGATGATCAGAAGGCTGGAGCAGCTCTCCTAAGAGGAAAGGCTGAGAGTGTTGGGATGGTTCATCTTGGAGAATAGAAGGCTTTGGGGTGATTTAATTGTGGCCTTCCAGTAGCTGAAGAGAGTCTGAAAGAAAGGTAGAGAGGGGCTGTTCAAAAGAGAAAGGGGGAATGGCTTCCATCTGCCAGAGGGCAGGGTTGGATGGGATACTGGGAAGGAATTCTTCCCTGTGAGGAAACCTGGCACAGGTTGCCCAGAGAAGCTGTGGCTGCTCCATCCCTGGAAGGGGATGGGCCTTGGAGCAACCTGGGATAGTGGAAAAAGATGTCCCTGCCCATGGCAGGGAGTGGTATAAGATGAGCTTTAAAGTCCCTTCCAACCCAAACCATTCTGGAATTCTATAAAGGCCGGCTCTGAAGTGTTGATATTTAATGCCTGAAGCTGCAGAAATTTGCATATTTTAGAAAACATTTAGAAGCTGTCAAAGACTTGGTGTCTCTTCCATTTTCTCCGTGTGCTATGTTAGGTAGTTACACTTATGTGGGCAGAAATCCTGTCGTGGATGAGGTTATGCTGGCAGGAATTAGTCATGTTAGAGTGACAAAGGAACCTCTCTGCCGAGGCAGCCGTGCCACCCAGTGGAAATGCAGCACACCCTGTTGCATATCCAGAAAACCTTTTTCTGTGTTTGAAAGATGATCTTGGAGACAGGAACTAAATCTGGCACATCAAGTGTTGGAAAAATGTCATACAACTCAAAAAAAAAAAAAAAAATAGGAAGGCAGTTGATGCTTAGTTTTGGGTAAGGAAGAAAAAGTGCTTTGGACAGCTCTTCTAAAGAGGGTCTGTAAGGACTGATGGTGGATAAAAGCCAGGAAAGGCAAAAGCATGGGAAAAATTGCTACAACATCCATAGTTTCAGTGAGATGGATGCAATCCAAGAGGGTTTAGAGCTGAAAAAACCAGCGTGGAGCTGGTTTGTTGTGGAAGCTGTTTAGTAGGACGGATTTAGCACGGCACACGTAGCACCACGCTTCCAGAAACAGGCGTTTCACAGACCTCTCTGAGAGTCACCAGTTGGTTGTGAACGCTGTTGGAAGAACTCTCCTGCCAGATCCCTGTTGGAATTGTGCTTCCCAGCCTTCCTCTCTTCCCAGTGCAGCGTGAGCCCAGCAGCCTCAATCATCTCACCTACCTGCTTGTAATTTTGGGAGCAGCTCATGGATATTCAGGAGGCCTTGACCGGTGGCCTGAAGGTTTTGCAGGGTATAATTTCTGGGCAGGTGCAGTCAAGTCCTTCCTGCCTCTCATGGCTCTTCAGGATAAAGGGTGAGAGCGATTCAGCTCCTGGCAATCTTTTTTTTTCTTTTTTTTTTTCTTTTTTTTTCTTTTTATTTTTTTTCAGGCATTGATCATCTCTCTCCATCCCTCGTTACAGTTTCGTGTTTCTGGCTGTTTATGTGCTCCGAGGTGGCTGAGAGGTGGTGCCCTGACCAGCTGAGCTGGAGGTGGCAGGCTCTGGGCTTCTGGAAAGCCAGAGATGTTTCCAGGGGCGTTGGCCTTCAGAAAACAAAGGGATCTTATCTCATGGCACGCTGGATGCAAGCAGGACTTCACTTTGAATGCTGCCAGCTCTGTTTTTCTGCTCCCTGCCAAATGACTTTAACTCCTGAACCCTCCTTCCATTTACTCTTTTTGCATCCCAGCTGCAGGGAAGATAATTTGGAGTAGAGTTTACATGTGGCAGAATGAATGTCTGTTACATTAATGGGTTTCTCTCTGCTGATAACAGTGCTTGTGCACCAGGAAAGCTTCAAGAGATAATTGGTTAATTCAGGAGTCCATTTGTTAATTCTGATGACTCTAAAAATCCCATCAAGATCCCATTCAGTGTGGGTTTTTTTTTTTTTCTAAAATCTTGAGCCCATTTGTGACCAGGAGGGACTTAAAAATTTAGTTACTTGGAGGTCTTCTGTCTGACACTGTCTCTGAGTCTGATTGGTGAGCATTTGAATGCCTTGGGCAATAATTGTAATAATATAATTGATATTCCTGTAAGGTTTTGACTGGAATTCTTTAACTAGTGTTGAACAACCTGAATGGAATATAGATTCCAGATTTAAGTACAGATGAGTTCATATGTTGTCTGAATGTTAAGGGTAATTTCAGTTTCTTTTTTATGAAATGAAGGTGGCAGTACCCAGATTAAATGTCTGTTTAAAAAACATCCCTGAAATAGGCCATCCTGTCTGCAAGAGGATCCTTGACATGCTTGGCATGGGCTCAGTTATCCCAAATGTTGCCAACAAATGTTGCTCTTGTCTGCTTGCCAAAGTAAAAAAGCCACTAAATCTCATTATAAGCTATGCTTAACTACCTTTTTTTTCTTTTTCCCTCCCATAAATCATGCAGCAGAATTGTTCCATTCATTTTCATGGCACAGAAATATTTGGGAATGATCTGCTAACAAATATTGGGGGTGTTAGTTGATATTTGGGAAGCAGGCCTGTTTCAACCTTGTTCACCCACTGCTTGACTTGAATTTGCTCTTCTCTGACACTCTTGTGACAGATCACAGGATTTTCATCTGAGTTCTCCTTTAGTTTCATTTCTTCTCTTCCTTCTCTCCCTCGCAGCAAATGTTCCAACTTCTTCTGTGGACTTTTTTCAATCTGTTATAGATCTGGTGTTCAGTTGGTCTTACCCCATCTCTCCATCTGCCTGAAATCAGGATTCTCTTGACCTGTTTTTGTGGTGTTTTTTTTAATAACTTGATGATGATGATGATTATCTGTGCACTTATGTATTACATAAGGGTTTTTTTGTGCTTGTCTGTATATTAATGATTGTTTTCCCTTATTTTTGGGGTTATATTAAATAGCTTCTCTGTCCATAGAAGTAAATTGAACTACAGTACCACCAAAAAGCACCTGCCAGCTTATTATTGAATGTGGTTAATTGCAAAAATTAATGAATTCTTAGCAGAAGAGGTATTTCTTGAAGATAAATTGAGTTTCTGGTAGAAACTCAGACAGTTGAGCTGTTAATAACAGGAGCAGAAACCACTTCCCTGATGTAGTTCATTTGGTTTCTCAATTTTAAACAAATAGTCCTTGATCTGAACATGTTCCTCATCTGAGACAAAGAGTCCTTACTTGAAAGAACTACTGCTGTTATAAATGAATGCTGGATTTTTAACAAACCTTTGTATTCATGCAATTAGGCACTGAATTCCATCAACTTTGTAGATACATATTTCTTGAAAGGTTTATTTAAATTGCTAGGTATTTCTTGAAAGGTTTATTTAAATTACAAGGTATTTCTTGAAAGGGTTATTTAAATTACAAGGTATTTCTTGAAAGGGTTATTTAAATTATTAGGTGTAACTTGAAAAGTTCACTGTGTTTCCACAGAGGTCTGGGTTGTTCCATGTGGTCATAAATAACTTGGGAAATGAGATGAGCAGTGTCTTGTTGATACAAAGTCATTCAGGAAAGTAAGGATTAGGTAATAAATTTGCAGAAATGATTCAATGGCAATAAATCTGCTGTGATTCAGAGTAGATAAATGTAGAGTGGTGCATATAATTTCACATATAAAATGCTGGGCTGACCCTTGACACTGAGGAGTGAAATATTGCCACAGAAGTGTCAGTTCCATAGGGATCTAAAAGCAGCTGAAAAATTAAGAAGTATTAGGAAGGAAATAGAAGACAAACCAGAGCATAATTATGATACTGTATAAATCAATGGTTATCCCACATCTTCAGTTCTGTGATTCTTTCTTGTCATTCATCCCAAAAGATCCCAAAGAGTTGGAAAAGCCTTTAATTGAGGTGAGGAGAATACTCAAAGGTATGGAATAGCTGCTGCAGGAGGGTCAGGGGAGTAAACTGGAGCTCAGCCTGGAGAAGGGACAGCTGAAAGAAAATGGTAAAAAATTTTAGGATAATGATCAGCATGGGCAGGGTGGATAAGAATAGACTTGCTGATTTCCTCAGCTGGTAGAATGGAGGAGCAACAAGTGAAACTAGTAAAATCCAGGTTTAGAACAAAAAAAGGAGGTGGCTTTTGTGCAACAAATAGTAGCCTGGGGAGTTCCTTCCCAGTGGGTGTTAAAGGAACAACTCTGAGGTAGGCAAATGAGACATCCCCTCATCTAAGTGAGGAAACTGGATGTGTTTGGGAAAAAGGAATTGTTTGAGGGTTATTGCTCCATGGAAATTACCTAAAGCTTAGGAAGTGTCTGAGCTTGGAATCATTGAAGTGTTGGGGTGAGTGTCATTCCTGGTCTTGTTGTTCTCTACTGGTCATCATTCAGATAAAATGGATGCTGGGATAAATGGTCCCTTGTTCTGATCCAGAGCTGTCCTGAGATTAGGAGATCGTGTAGATAATAAATTTACAGTACAGTTTCAGAGATGAATGTATAAATAATGTAAATATATATTAACCTAAAGGAGCTTATAAACCTATTTGATCTATTTCCATACAAACCTCCATCCCTGAGACCATTCTCTGTCTTGGAAGTCAGATCTTCACCATCAACAAGGGGAATACAAGGATTACGTTTTGTGGGAACCAACTTTGCAGTAGTATTTGTACTTTTGACTTCTATTTTACATTTTTCCTCCTCTTAATGTTCCTTTCTGGCTCCTACACTCTCCCCTAAAACTTTCTGACTGCTCTTGGGTTATTTTTTTAACAGTTCTCACCTCTGGTTATTTGTTACTCTATGGCTCATTGGTCCCTATTTTTTGGTGCCTATTTTTTTGGAAGCGTGGAGAGGTTAGAAATTGGATGCATATTAGTGACACCTCTGTAATCACTTGCTGGAGTTGGTGAATGTAAATAAAAGCATCCTTTGCCCTTGGTGTTATTTATTCTGAAATAATTGGAGGGTAAACAGTCAGCAAGCTATAGTTCTTTTATTTTTGGCAGTAAGATCCATGTGGGGATTCCAGCTCTGGGGTCCCCAACATCAGAAGGATGTGGAACTACTGGGACAAATCCAGAGGAGGCCATGGAGGTGCTACGAGGGCTGGAGCCCCTCTGCTCTGGAGCCAGGCTGGGAGAGCTGGAGAAGAGAAAGCTCCAGGGAGAGCTCAGAGCCCCTTCCAGGGCCTGCAGGGGCTCCAGGAGAGCTGGAGAGGCACTGGGGACAAGGGATGGAGGGACAGGACACAGGGAATGGCTCCCAGTGCCAGAGGGCAGGGATGGATGGGATATTGGGAAGGAATTTTGAGGGTGGTGATGCCCTCACCCACAAGGATCCTGCTATACCTTTTCCAAATCCCAGTTTAGAAAACAGCTGGAATCCTTCCCAGCCATCCCTGTCTGGGCAGGCTCCATATGCTCCATATGAATGCTTGAAATATTTTTTCCTATTGCAATGTGACCCATTTACATCCTGTGTGGCACCTGTCTGAGAGGAGGCAGGTGGAGGCTCAGGACTTCCCTTTTCATGGAAACTTCATCCAGAGAAAGGTGTTTGGGTTGCTCTGTGAGCACAGGGAGGCAGCTGGGACAGCAATAAATCCAGGGCTAAAACAAAAAAGAGTAAATTAATTCCCATTATCTCACTGAACAGGAATCCCTAAAGGAACAGCTGGCACAGGTGTCCCAGCAGCCAGGGGCAGTGATCACCCTGATCCATGCTCCAGGATGGGCCAGAGGCAATGTGCAACCAAGGCACCAAGAGGTGCTGCCGGTTCAGCACCTGCTGTGCTCCAAATGAGACAAATGTAGATGTCTCATGAAGTCTTGCTTAAAAATACCTTTATAATTTTCAACAAATTTCACTTTATCTTACCTTACTTTTCAGCACAATGTCTGGAACTGATGATTTTTCGGTAAGTAACAGTTTTTCTTTCCTGAAGATCAGCCAATTGTGTTGATTATTCCAAAAGCTGACATAGTTTTTTTGAAGGAAAAGGGGAGCTGACAGCAGTGAGATTTCTTCTGTGTCACAGTCGTGGTGTTTTCCTTTTGGGTAGATGTAGCAATCCCTGGACTAAACATCAGAAGCTGCAGGGTGCCTCGTGGGTTCTCTCCTGTGACTTTAACAAAGGAGCTGTGTTTTCATGGCATCAGGATAGTCGTAATGGAAATCTAGGAAAATGTTTTCAGCTTTGTGCTGCAGTTGCTTGTTGTTCCGTGTGGTGGGTCACCTTTTATCTCTGGCTTTTTAACTGCGGCCTGTCAGAACGCCTGTGCTGCCTTAGTGATAGGAGCTGCACAGGAACGAGTGTAAATCATCTGTGCCGCCACCGAGAGCTCTGCTGTGCTGGGGGGATGTCTGCAGCCGGGAATTCCGCCGGGCACCTTCCCTTCTCACCGGCTCTTTGTCTTTCAGTTGGCAGATGCTTTACCAGACCAATCGCCTGCTAAAACCTCCAAAGTGAGCAGCACCAAGCCTGGCCAGCAGCCCGGGCAGCCTCCGCAGGGCTGGCCGGCTTCCAACCCTTGGAATAACCCCAGCGCCCCCCCTATGACTCCAACCGGACTGCCACCAAACACATCGGCTTCCAGCGTGCCCTTCGGACCTCCTCCCACGGGAATGTATCCTTCAATGCCCCCGGGACCGCCTGCTCCATTTCCTCCTCCTCCTACTGGACCCTCCTGCCCTCCTCCTGGTGGTCCATATCCACCCCCAACTGTGCCAGGTCCTGTCCCGCCAGGGCAGTATCCTCCACCAAATATGCCCTTTCCAGAGCTTCCACGACCTTACGGAGGTCCAACAGAGCCAGCTGCACCTCCTGCTCCTGTTGGGCCATGGGGATCCATGCCCTCTGGAGCATGGGGACCAACAATGGGAGGGCAGTATCCTGCTCCCAGCATGCCATATCCACCCCCCGGGCCATATTCCGCTCCTACCCAGACTCCAG